AAGTGGGAGGGAAGTGGACGGGGCCCTGAGCCGACCCAGCCCTAAACGGAATGGGGCGCCCAACCCGTGCCGGATTACCGTGCCCCTTGCACGCCGGGCACGGCCTTTCGGCTCGTGAAGGGTCGGTGCGTGTCGTGATCCCCTGGAACACCCGTACTCTCCCGCGCCATCTCCGTCGCCCTGTTCGGCTGCGGCCTTACCACCAAGATCGGGAGGCGGCCAGGGCTCATAGACTCGGTCGAGAGACCCCAGATTGGCATCCATGCCTCTCTGGACAGGGTGGCCCGCCACAACGACCCCTGGAATTGCGACTCGCCGCTTTCCTCCCGCTGTGATTCTGTGTGAGCTCTGTGTCTTGATTTGCCAACAATATACCTACAGTCAGAAAAGAAGCTAGGGAACTCAAGATGTAAAAACTTTAAACAAGACTAGTTTCACTCGGATTCACTCCTATGCACCTTCGGTGAGGGTACATTGGCGCGTAAAAGGAGAGTCACGGAATCGCGCGCGCCTCTACCAGGAAGGGCTACGCAGTATCCCTGACATCCCCCCTCGCCGCCTCGACGGCGGCGTGGAGTGACGGTCGGCTCTCGGCTGCCGCCCCCGCCTCTCTCTAGGCTTCTCCCTCGCCGCCTCGACGGCGGCGCGGAGTGGTGGTCGGCTCTCGGCTGCCGCCTCCGCCTCCTTCTAGGCTTCTCCCTCGCCGCCTCGACGGCGGCGTGGAGTGACCGTCGGCTCTCGGCTGTCGCCTCCGCCTCTCTCTGGGCTTCTCCCTCGCCGCCTCGACGGCGGCGCGGAGTGACGGTCGGCTCTCGGCTGCCGCCTCCGCCGCTCTCTATGCTTCTCCCTCGCCGCCTCGACGGCGGCGCGTCCGCCTCTCTCTAGGCTTCTCCCTCGCCGCCTCGACGGCGGAGCAGAGTAACGGTCGGCTCTCGGCTGCCGCCTCCGCCTCTCTCTAGGCTTCTCCCTCGCCGCCTCGACGGCGGCGCGTCCGCCTCTCTCTAGGCTTCTCCCTCGCCGCCTCGACGGCGGAGCAGAGTAACGGTCGGCTCTCGGCTGCCGCCTCCGCCTCTCTCTAGGCTTCTCCCTCGCCGCCTCGGAGTGACGGTCGGCTCTCGGCTGCCGCCTCCGCCTCTCTCAAGGCTTCTCCGTCGCCGCCTCGACGGCGGCGCGGAGTGGTGGCCGGCTCTCGGCTCCTGCCTCCGCCTCTCTCTAGGCTTCTCCCTCGCCGCCTCGACGGCGGTGTGGGGTGGTGCTTTCTCCCTCGCCGCCTTGACGGTGGTGGCTCGATTCCCGGCGGCCTCTGGACGCTCGGCGACCGGCCTCACCCCTCTCGTGATTTGGCTGTCGCCTCTGTGGCTCCATGCCACGGCCAGTTGCCCCTTCTGTGGGGTTCATTGGGCTTTCCGGGCCACCTGCCCTCGCTCCTCCTCCACTGCGCGTTGGGATGTCAGGGATACTGCGTAGCCCTTCCTGGTGGAGGCGCGCGCGATTCCGTGACTCTCCTTTTACGCGCCAATGTACCCTCACCGAAGGTGCATAGGAGTGAATCCGAGTGAAACTAGTTCGCCGATAACGATTGGGGTAGGGGCCCTAACTCGTGATAGGCCACTAGTTTCCCGCAGGAGACTCACGGAGATCCTCTCCTCTCCTACCTCTTCTTCTGCCTCTGCGTCCTTCACGGACTCTCCGTGGACATCTTTTACTTCATCTTTTACGGAAGTTTGAACTTCCGTGCGTGTCGGGCGCTCCCGCCCGCTCGCTGCTCTGATGAGCGCGGCTTCCGCTGCTCTCTCCTGCTCACCTGGCCATGACGCCGCTCCTCGTCCTTGGCCGCGCCAGGCTCTCCTTCCTACTGCGCCAGCCCTTCGGCTGCACCAGTTCTTTCTTCTCCCCACCCACCCTATCCTGCCTACTCTCTGGCTTTGGGGTGTGGTTCTCTCTATCTGGTCCGAGGGGCGATCCCTTACGGCGCCGCGGGCGGCTACAGGACGTTGAGGTCCCCTCCGTACCTGTAGCAACCCAAGCCGTTTGAGTCCCAACCCTCCGCCTTCAGTGGCAGGATCCCAGGGGATGTCAGGGATACTGCGTAGCCCTTCCTGGTGGAGGCGCGCGCGATTCCGTGACTCTCCAGGAGCGAGCTGAGGCTCACTCGCCATGTCGCCCACGAGGCGGCACACGAGACGAGGCTCGAGTAGAAGAGGAGCGAGGCGAGGCTCACTCGAGAGGGAAGGCAGCAGTGACAGCTGGCCGCCCGCCACGCCGCCCACGAGGAGGCACACGAGACGAGGCTGAGTAGAAGAGGAGCGAGCTGAGGCTTACTCGAGAGGGAAGGCAGCAGTGACAGCTGGCCGCCCGCCACGCCGCCCACGAGGAGGCACACGAGACGAGGCTCGAGTAGAAGAGGAGCGAGGCGAGGCTCACTCGAGAGGGAAGGCAGCAGTGACAGCTGGCCGCCCGCCACGCCGCCCACGAGGCGGCACTGGGGTGCTGCCTGGAAAGGAGATATCCCAGAGCCACCTGAGCGCAGAGCTCAGCCACATCTGCAGCACGAGGCCGGAGAGAAGAGAGAGGCACGCCACGAGTTGAGATGCAACAGCATTCCTCAGAGCGGGCTGTGGAGCCACCGACTCAGGTCTCCAGGTGGACGAGGCCGCTGTGGCAGGGCCGAGGCGACCGCAGAGCATCGCAGGCAAGCAGATGAGGCCATCGCCCATCGTGCACTGCTGCCAAGGACAGTCGCCAGCAACAGCAACAATGGCGCAGACGCACAGATCCTGCACGGAGAAGAAAGAACTGGTGCAGCCGAAGGGCTGGCGCAGTAGGAAGGAGAGCCTGGCGCGGCCAAGGACGAGGAGCGGCGTCATGGCCAGGTGAGCAGGAGAGAGCAGCGGAAGCCGCGCTCATCAGAGCAGCGAGCGGGCGGGAGCGCCCGACACGCACGGAAGTTCAAACTTCCGTAAAAGATGAAGTAAAAGATGTCCACGGAGAGTCCGTGAAGGACGCAGAGGCAGAAGAAGAGGTAGGAGAGGAGAGGGTGAGTCTCCTGCGGGAAACTAGTGGCCTATCACGAGTTAGGGCCCCTACCCCAATCGTTATCGGCGGAGTTTTTTTTAGTCGTAGGTGCGGGTTTTTTGCGTGCCCTCCGTCGATACGGGGCGCTGGGCGATGCCCGCGGCCCACACCGACGCCCTCACGGGCTCACCCTAGTCGTAGGTGCGGGTTTTTTGCGTGCCCCCCGTCGATACGGGGCGCTGGGCGATGGCTGGGCTTGTCGCCGGGCGAGCTGGCCCCTCAGTCGGCCGCGGAGCGGAGATGCGAAATCGAGGCGGCGCGGCCCCTGCGCGCAGCCTATCCGGCCGGCGCGCGCATGGTTCCGTAGCCCGTCTAGTGCCTCACTGACCGACCCCAGCGCTACGGTGCACGTGGCCGGTGTGGTACTGGGGCTGGGCAGCCTTGGGGCTGGCGGAGACCGCCGTCTAGCGGTCGCACTAGTCGGATATCGTTGTTCAACCTGTTTGTTCAACGGGTTGTTCAACCATACTTCGAGCCTTAATTATTAATTAGGGTTTGGGTCTCTGAGGTCGATACTAGCGTCTATAACTGAGTGCG